GACTTCCACAGGACAGACTGCAGCAGCCGCCTGACACCACAAAGGTCATTTCCTGGAAATGGCCTGCTGAGGACGGAAACCTACCAGGAGCCAAGCTGCACTGTGGCGGGTTAGGGGTAGGGTTAGGGTCAAGGAGTAGGGTTACAGTTTTGGGATTTGAACTTAGATGTTAGGGATAAGGTAAGGGTTAGTGCTGTGGATAAGGTTGGGTTTGGGTTTGGGTTAGGCTTAGGGAAAGGGCTAGGGTTAGGGTTCGGCTCTCAGTCTGCATGGGGACAGGTGAGGGATGTCACAGGGCCAGATAGCCCCTGCCCTATTGAACAGGGGTGGCAGCAGGGTGGGTCTACGGGACAGGGAGCCTTGGGTGCAGGTCTGAGGCTCAGGGCCCTGGGTGACACCCCCCAGGACCCACAGAGTCCGGGACTGGCCCCTGGTGTGAGAGCCAGGGTCCAGAGGGGCCTTGCAGTTACCACGGAGAGAGAAAGTTGAGGCAGAGGGGACTTAAGGAAAAGAGCCTCCCAGCCCAGTTCTTTATTCCAGGGGGACCTTCCTACAGTTCTTGTCACGTGCCCCACGTCCTGTGGCAAGTCCCCCTCAAGGCGTCTGTTCATAACCACCTTGGGGCTGAAAGGGAAGCATTCATAGTCACCCGATGCGGGTGCGGCCCCAGGGGAGGACGCGCAGGACAGGAGCAGAGCTGACTTTTGACAGAAGGCTGTGCTCCAGCCGTTTCCCAGGGAGCCGGAGGGCCGTGCCTGCCTCATCTCAGGGGAGCTAGACCTCCAGGGCCACCAACCTGTGGGCACCTTCCCACGGGCACTGCCTCCACCGTGGAGGGTGAGCCCCTGCCCCCTGGAAGAGAGACTGAGGTTCAGCCTGTCCCGCACATGCGCGCTGTTACTGGCAAGGCCGGACTGCGGTCTGCTCCAGGCTCTCTGCGTTCAGAGACTGGGGCCCTCTCTCTTCCCAGAGTCCACCTCAGGACCATCTGCTCCCACAACTGGGCACTTGGCCCCACCCTCCACCCCCAAGGCCCTCCCCCTCACAGCAGGCCTGGGGGTGCTAGCTCCACTCTTCGTCCTGAGCAGAGACAGGACCAAGGGTGAAGAGGGGCCCCAAGCAGGCTCCAGAGGAGAAGGATGGGAGGCAAGGAGGGTGATGTGGGGACCATTCATGGTGCTAACCCCCCAGCATTCCTGTGGGGTGCCTTCCACCGGTGCTGGGAGGGGCCAAGTCAGCCCCAAGTGTCCTGGGGCTGAGTCCTGAGCCTGTGCTAAGGACAGAAGGCCGCTTCGTCCCCAGAGGACCTCAAAGCAACCTTACAGGGCATCCAGGGATAAACAAAACCGATGGGGTCCCAAGTTGTGCAGAGTGAGAGGTAGCATTAGCATTAAGCGCTCGTGCTCAGGACAGAAGCCTTTCTGTCCCCAGAGGGTTCGGGTTTGGGTTCGGGTCAGGGTTACTGTTAGAGGAAGGCTTAGGATTCAGCTTGTTCTAAGGACAGAAGCCCTCAATGCCCATACAGGCCCTTGAAACCAGCCATGGGGGACAGCAAGGGGTCAGTAGGAGTGGAGAGGGCCCAGTGTGCGAATCCCCTCCCACATGCTGGAACCAGGCACCAAACCTCCCCAGATAAGAGATCAGCCAGATGTGAGGGAGGTCTGGAGCCCACTTTCCAATTAGCCAGGGCTTGGCCATCTCCCCCCTCCCCCCCCTTCCCCGGATGTGGGACAAGAGCCCCCTCCCCTGGTCATGGGTGTGACCGAGGCCCCACCTGGTCCATCAGGCTTCGGCACCAGGCCGTCAGGCTCCCAGGGTCCACAGCGTGGCCACAGCTCATCTCCACCCGCTTCTGGCCATCATACTCGTCCCCTGTAAGGGTCAAGGGTCAGTCAGGGCCGCACAGCCCCTGGACCAGAGCTGAGGCTGGTCCTATGGGGCTCTGGGGTCTCAGCAGACAAGGGGGTGCTGCCCAGCTCAGAGAACACCCCTGGCTGTGACTTGCCCCATCACCCTTCCGGGGTCCCTACACCCATCCCTCACTGCGATGCAGGTGACTGGTCATATGAGTCCCTGTCCCCAGTCCAGAGCACGGCCTCACCAGGAGAGGACGGTTTCCCTGGCTCCCCTGTGAACGTGACAATGGGCAGCATAGCCCCTTCCCTGTCCCCTTGTCAGCAAGGGGATCCCAACCTTGGGGGCTCCCTAGGACCCCTTTCCCTGCATGCCACTCAGGCCAACACGTCCCCCCCACCACCACCCCAAGACACCACCATCCACCTCAGCCCTCCGGACACCACACTGCCCCCTCCCCTCTCA